GAGAGCGGACGACCCATAAAGAAGCCGTCGAAGGACTTGCCCGACACCGCACAACACGTCTCGAAGCCTATTTTCCCGTTTTACAGACTTGTCTACTTCATAACGTCAGTCTATAACTTCCTCAACAAGCGGTTTTTCGTACGCCCGATACGGACCGGAAAGATATTCGGGCAGCTGCGTCTCGAGGATGTTGAGGTTGACTACCACGAGATTATCAAAAACCCCATGGATTTGGGAACCGTTGAAGTATACGTTCTTTGATTAGTTTGAGTTTTTTAAGTACAAATTGATATGATTTTGTTTGAAATGATAGGTAAAGATGTGTAACAGAGAGTACCGAAAGCCCGAAGAGTTCGCATCCGACGTGCGCTTAATATTTACCAATTGTTACAAATATAACCCTCCGGATCATTGTGTGCCCCGAATGGCCACAAAACTACAGGTATTGTATGCATTGTATACTAAATAAGGATATGATTTGTGAGCCTCTACTGGGCAGGAATGCATTGCATTTCCCTAAATGTCATTCCAATGAATCAGCGGAGGAATAGAAACGCTTTATTAATCGCAGTCCTCTATTAGTGTTAATGAGTGGTCTATTCCATGATTTGGCGACAAAAATTATTTTGAGTATTTCATTGTTTTTTTTGCGGTGAATATTAGGACGTGTTTGAATTGAAGTTCGCTTTGATGCCGGACGAGCCGCCGCACGGAGACTCGCTTACGGGACATACGGACAGCTCCGGCAGCAGTTCCAGCGATAGTTCTACTCCCACCTCATCCAGCAGTGAGAGTGACAGCGAAGACGAGAATAAAATAAGGCTATTGAAGAGGTTGAAGGAAGTGACTGAACAGATCTCAATGTTAGCACAAGAAGGCGGCAAAAAGAAGGCTAAAAAGAAGAAAAGAAGAATTCAAAGCACTTCCAAGAAGGAAGACTCAGTGGACGGCACGTCAGCCTCACTAATAGCCGGCGGAAGCAATATATCACTTATCGGTAATTCGGGTTCAAATGCCGGCACTTCTAATATGGCGCCAAACCATGAAATTAACACAACTATACCAACGGGTAAGGCGTCGAAGGCCTCTAAAGCCATGTCCGGCGCCTCAAAAGCCCAAAACTCTGCCCACAAGACGAGTGCTGTGACCAGTGCTGTGACCGCACCCGCGAAGAGACAGACAACTAATAGTAAAGCTAACAAAAAGAACGCGAAAGTAATGCCAGTGTTTGACAGCGAAGACGAAGACAACGCCAAACCCATGTCTTATGACGAGAAACTACAGCTCAGTCTTGACATCAATAATCTAACGGGTATTTCATTTTTTGCCATTTATGCTGAGTTTGTGTTCCTAACAATATTGCTCTCTTTGTATGATTAGGTGATAAATTACAAAATGTAATTCTTATAATCCAATGTCGAGATCCAGACTCTGTTCGGGCAAATCCGGGTGAAATAGAGATAGATTTTGAAACATTAAAGCCGTCAACACTGCAAAAGTTGGCGATCTTTTTGCGGAAGAAACCCCGAAAGCCTTACAGTAAGTGTTGGTTATATAGTTATATGTAGTGTGTATTTGAATGGATGTGTAATGTGTGTACTGTTGTAGACACGAAGAACAAGCAGGCGTTGGCTTTGGCAGCCGCTGCCAAGACTAAGGAGGAACAGGAGAAGAAGAAACAGGAACTCGAGAAGAGACTGCAGGACGTGAGCGGACAGTTGGGAGCGGCGACGAAGAAGGCGCCCAAAAAAGGTGAGTTGACTACTCCTGATAGGGGTGTCTGACATGTGTGTTATGTGTGGAATTGTGTCCATTTATTGAAATACAGATCCCTATGCTTTCACAGATTCAGAGAACTCACACGCGGCGGATGTCGGGCCGACGTCACGGCTCTCGGCGTCGAGTTCGAGCTCGAGTGACAGCGACAGTAGCAGTAGTTCGAGTTCCAGTNACTCACACGCGGCGGATGTCGGGCCGACGTCACGGCTCTCGGCGTCGAGTTCGAGCTCGAGTGACAGCGACAGTAGCAGTAGTTCGAGTTCCAGTAGTTCTTCTGATAGCAGCGACTCTAATGGCGAGAAGAAAGAGTCGTCGACCGCCTCTATGTCTCAGTCAAACCCTTCTGTGATGTCGTCTAACAAAAAGTCTGATGTAATGAATGGTTGACAATATTATTAGAGAAATAATGTTTAAAATAATGTAAATTGATTTTGTCTTTTATGATTAGGCGTCTGAGAGACGATCGAAGGTTTGGACAAATGTTGCGCTATCAGCTCCTGGAGGCAGTGGCTCTAACTTGAAAGCTGAGAATAGTTTTGAAATGTTTAGAAAACAAATGACTCAATTAAGAGCACAGCAAGAGATGCGCCGAGAAGTCCTCGAGAAGGCCCGCAAAGCACGACTGCAACACATCGACCAAATGAACCCAAACCAGTCGTCCAACTCATCGCCCGCTTCCGGGTCGGGCTCTCCCGGTCGGGGCTTCTCTCAGACCGAACGCCAACGCCTCAGACAGACAGAGAAGGAGCGGAGGATGAGAGAAGCGGTCAGTGTTTGCTTTTCTGGTCACTATTTGTTGATATATTTTGCAGCGTTTAATAGCAATCATTAAATTATATGCATTTATTTTTTACACAAACAGAGAGCCCAACAAATCGATTTGAACCGTCAGAGCGAAATGTTGGCTAATTTCGAGAAAATGTTGTGATTATTAATCACTGATTAACTTGTTTTATACTGTATTATAAATAAAACGATCGCATCGGTAACACCACTGGCACCGGACCGTTACCCTTCATCCATGCCTTTCATATTAATAAGAGATTCAAATTTCATTTCATTGTATATTTCATATTTACAACAAAAACTAATTGAATAAAAAAGTTGTAATAATTATCATATTCTTTAGTAACAATTCTATGTGATGTCCAGTTGAACACAATTATATTCTACGTTATAGTTAACCAATTTTTATTATCTGTGAAAACATTGTCTAACCAAATCAAATGAAATCGTATTTTATTTAGAGAGTCGTGTATTGTTTATAATTTAAAATAAATAATTTAATCAATGAATCAATTGGTTTATCGAATGACACTCTTTAAAGTTATTTGATTTTGTTTGTGTCTAACACTTGTGTCTCATTGACTGGAATCGAGACATGCTTTTTATCACTATCTTTGATATTCTTTGAGTGTTTGCTGTCTTTATATTCCTCTAAAATCTTTGTTTCTTCTGTCGATTTATCAGATGATGGCATGGAAGCACTCATCTCTTTCTTGTCTTCGGTGTCACTTTGTTCTTCGGTTTCAATGGGTTTCACCAATTCTTGGGATCCTCTCAAATGACTGTCTGACTCTAACTGTTGTGCTAACGGTTTCTTAAATATCTGTTTGTGAACCAAAAGATTGTTGATTAAGAGAAACGATATAATCAGTTGTATAGCGAATGCTATGTCTATAAGAATCGCTCCTAAACTCAAACCAAATGCAAACGTTTTAGAAATAATAGATTTAAATAATTGTCAAAATGCGAACCAATAATCGAGAAGTCATAGTAAATGGCAACAAAAATATAGAGAATCAGTGAAAACACGTCCAAAATAGCGAAAACAATCAACGATTCTTTGTTTTCGTAATAAATGCCATAAAATCCAAACGCCATCGGAATTAAGGAGAAGACAAACAGAAGGGATGGTAACCAGAGTTCATAGTATTGGCCATTATATACGAAGAAGTGATTGATATTAATGAAGACATAGAGGAAACCAATGGCCAGAATGAGGACAATGAGGACATAGAAGGAATAGGCGCTAAACTCGATCTCTTCGACAGTCAGACCCCAAACAGTCTTCGTTTTGTTCTCATTTGTGACAATCTGTGAGATATTTGCGAATCGTTTGCGAGATTTGGCCATCGATTCAAAGATATATTTCGGACACTATTTTATGACAAAAATAGCGATTCGTTTGTAAATTCAAATTTAAATATAATTTAATAAAGTATTGTTGACTTAATTCATAACTAATTAAATAGTAAATTATTCAATAAAAGTCAATATAAATTGAGTATTTATTTAATGGATTTAAGTATTCAAATCAATTTAATTAACAAAAACTTAATAAATATTTTAATTTTTAAAGAAATATTTAACAAATAAAGTTCATTTCAAAAAATACTTTATTCAAACAATGCATTCCAATTGTAATGGCATTTAACTATAATTATTGTCCAAAAATTCAAATCTTAAAACAATTTTTCGAGTCATAAGATAATTAAATGTCTATTTAAATGATAATAACTTTAAACAAAAAACTTAAATTTTCTATAATTTAGAGATAGTTTTACACAAAAAAGAAAGAAAACAATTTCTGCAAAAACATTACAATTTTTAGCAATTCGTTAAAAAAATAAGTTATAAAACATTGATATTAAGTCTAAAGCAAAGCAATCATTTGTTTCGTTAAATATTTTGGACATCAAATGAGACTTTAATATCGAGGATATCATCGGAACGGTAGAGAAGAGGGGGACAGGAGTTGAGAAGAGATGCGAACATTGGTTGCAATTCATAATAATTATTGATTTTGATGGGAATGCAGAGAACGGATCCGAAATATATTTATCAATTATCTCCGCCCTCATTGTGGACCTGAAGTATAGGACAAACACATGGTGTGAATGTGTATGGATTGTGAGAAACACTTACATTCATGTGTGGCGGCGGCTGTAGGGGAGGCGTAGGAACTCCGTGTCTGTACTCTAATTCAAGCCTTTTAATTAGGGTTTGAATGTCGCCGTCGTTGCTGTCGTCGCCGTCAACTCTGTTATACAAAACATTGGTTTAATATTTGATAATACGGTAAATGAATATAATTAATAGTGAAATACCCTAATAATTGTACACCGATTGCATCATCCAATGATTGTTTGTATATATTGAACAATGCTTTACACATCGATTCAACATTTCTGAGTTTAGTTATCATATCATCGATAACACCACGGGTTGTGTCGATCGATGACTTATAAGCCTCTGTTAAGTAAATCTGTTGTATTTCATTAATTAGTTGCACCACTTCTTGGATGTCATTCGTGTTTCTATATGAATGGTATGATTGCATCAATGCTTTTGTTTGTATATCTAATGATAAATTGTATGAATCTGTGAGCCGTGTGTCCTAACCCTCACCCATACAACACCACTACCCGCCCCGACATCACCCGCGCGTCTGTGTCTCAAACATCACCACCTCTTCACCGCTCACAGCCCTTACAGCCGGTGTCCACACTTCGCAAACTACTCCTTCATTACAGCGCGGGTTCGCCGACGGCATGGCGTGTATGACATGCACTCCAGCCGTCGCCCAATCCATAGCGCAAACCAACGCAACGCCGACTCTAACCGAAAGAGCGGGCCTTCGGTCGCCATTGACTGGTCGGCAGTGATTGGCCACAAGTGTTGAGTCGGTGTGAGTCGGGTTTGCGGACACAACGACTCTCTTAATGGTAACTTTACAATCACTTACTCGACAGCAAATGCAGTGGTCATGCATTTCATGACTGATTCGGATAGTCTCGACACGAGAGCCAGTGTTTGAGTGAAACCCGGAAGAATAGACGGCGCAAAGTCTCCCATCGCTGCCATTTGGTCACTAAATAGTAATCAAAATATAATCATTTCAAACAAATTATAATTCAAAAGTAAATTAATATGATTTATGAGAAACACTAACCGCTCTATCGCTAAGTCGATACACAAATGATTGAACAAAATCTCAATTTCCATTATATTAATCATTTTTAATCTAATCTTTAATCCAATCTATGAATCGATTGATTAGTAAAACACAAAAATGTGATTAAAAGTGAGCTTTTATTCACAAATTCAAAACAGACAACACATGTGCGCCCTTTGGATGGCAACGCATGCGTGCAATGCATGCATACATGCCATCACTTGATCCATACTTTCAATCATTACTTTCACATTTTGATCAAGAGCAGTTTTATTAAGAGCAGTGTAGTATTCACTCTACAATGTAGTCTACATTTAGTCAGTATTTATTCAAAATAACAGTTAATTTACAAATAAATCAAACAATTGTATATTTAATGATTAGGTTTTCATTCATTTTCCACACTTTGCTCTCTTTAACCAATTTCTCCAAATGATGGCAAACATTGAGTTCTGCGGCCGTATATAACTGTTCCGATACTTCCTTCACGTGACAGCAAAAACATGATTACAATTCAAACAAATTTCTGATTATATTATAGTTTTCAATACCTTATAAACAATTGTCACGATTTCCATAGAAGTAAGAGCTCTGTCCGCAGCGGTCATCGCATTGAGAATCTGTTGCTCGCGAAGCAGTCTATGGGCGATATATTCCTCAATTTTGGTCATCGGCTCATTCACAACGTTTCCATGTCCTGGATATATGACCGACGGCTTCAGATCCAGTATTATCTGCAATGACTGCATGTATGAGTAGAGGTCCTCGAAGACGGCCGTCCCTTCGCCCAGAATGCAGTCACCGCTGAAGACCGCGTTCTCCTCCTCTAACACCAGAATCAAGTGGTCAGTCGTGTGTCCGGGAGTGGCGACCGCTCGCAGTGTCACTCCGTTCTCGTGGTCGGCGTCCGTCCGCAACCGCTGTCCGTCCCGTAAGTAATGGAAACGTATGGCCGACGAGTACTGGCGGTCGTGTTCTTCGCTACACATCTTATATATCGTACAGTCTTTTGGTCCGCAAATCAAAACATTCAATTAAATGACAACTTTTTGTTGCAGTAATTATAACTTATTCAATACCAGTGTCGTTGAGCTGAAGAGACTGGAGTACGTCAGACACACCGCCGATGTGGTCGCTGTGCCAGTGAGTGATCACTATTTGAGACAATTTGATGCCATTCTCGTCGATCACATTCTTCAGCGAAGAGATATACTGCGAGACATTGGGTTCGCCGGTGTCTACGAGCGTACGGTTGCGTCCCTTTCCCACCAAACTATCGGATCAAATGAAAACAATTGACAACCGGTGGACACATAGTGTGGACAACAAACACATACTAAGTATTGGTTCCCTGAAGAGTCATAAGACCCGGATTACAGCCCAACACACGGGTTATGAGTGGACTTAGTTTTGACACTTTGGGGATAACGGCACTCATGTTTGGTCACTCACACCGTGTGATCACTTGGATTACCCTAAATGATAATATTGACAAAATAACCATCATTTATATCATGTATAGTTAGTACAACTTGTATATATTACCCGAATATATATTTCGATGTACTCTACAGTGAATGGACTCAAAACTTAATCACAAGACTCTTGTGATAACACAAGTCTGAAGTTTTGTTTTCATTTTCAATAAACTTTTTTGTTTGTGTTAAAAAACATTCATGAACAACGTTACAAATACTGCCTATTTATTGCCCCCTTTAAAGTATTTTGATAGACATACGTTATAATGCACTCATAGCAAACTTATTATAATCCACAACCCTTTGTAACGTTATATGAGAATGGGTTTGCATTTCATAATATGTTTACAAATGGTTGGTTTAAAAGCCGATTGAAATGTCTTTCATATTTTGGTCCAAATGTGTGATAAGATCTCATTATTTGGTTCATTCACTCAAATATATATCATTTGGTAATCGGTTTGCCATCAATTGGACACACATTAAGACATCGCTGAAAGCGGTTCCGACGACTAACCGGTGTTTGACACAAATCAGACATAAATGCGGTGTTAATGAAGCGTTGAATCGGCGGCCAAAGACCTTATGGTAAGGGATCCGATCGCTGGTGATGTTATCACTGAATTTGTATCTCTTGTTAACCATCGTTGAGGTCATGGAATATAATCTCCGGTTTATTGGTTTGGTTGGGAATCATTGAAGAACCCGAAGACCCGTTGATATTAACCATCAAAAGAGGCGTCTATTGTATGCAATGCGAAGAGTACTCCAAAGCGGAACTCATTCTCCATTCGGCTCTTCATATGTCCCAAGAGTTGGCCTTCGAGTCCGCGGAGACCTATGTGTTGGATGTGTTGGCAAACAATTACTTCAAGAAAGGAGATTACGTGAGAGCGGAACAAGTGTTCAAAGATGTGTTTAACCGGGTTTTGGCCAAAGGGATGGCCCCTAACGAAGAGCCCATCGTTGAGATGTCCATCAAATTGTCTCATATATACAGCATTACCGGTGATGTCGACAAATCGGATATCGGTTTTGACTTTTGTCTCACCGAACAGACCAAACGAGTGGACGGGTTTCGGCACAAGTGTTGCGACGATATGACAGATGAAGAAATCAATTCAATGGCACTGATGGGCATGTGTTACGACTATTACTCCAAACACTTGTCATCCATCGGACACTTTGACAAAGCGATTGATAGTCTGACAAAAGCCATAGATATTTGTCTTAATATAAATGGCAGAACACATTCGCAGACATTGGTTCTGTACAACGATTTGTCGGCCATTTATGTCCACAAAAAGGATTACGAGAACGCTTTGGTTTATATGAAGAAAGCCATCGACGGTGCGGTCACTACTGAAGACAAGCATTTGGCTAAATATTACACAAATTTAGGTTTTGTTTATTTGCAACGCTTTGAAAAGGATTTGGCCCTCAAGTGGTGCACCGAATCACTGGCTCTTATACTTCGGGCCAAAGACAACGATAAGGAGACCAATAGAGACAAAACTAAAGACAGAAAATTACTTGAAGAAAAAGCTCGCAAATGTGTGGCCGATTCAACCGCTCTTAGGAATCAATAATTTACTCGCTTAGAGCTTATTTCAGTATAACGTTTGTTGTTTTAGGCAATAGTTTCAATTTAATTCCTTAATTAAATATTACGCTATTTTATTAAAAATAAAATGATTTAATTGGTTTTAAATAAATATTTATTAATTTTTATGTTCTTTTTATTTTATTAAAAACTAAAATATATGTAAACGAGAAAATTGGGTTTAATTGGTTATAACTTACTTCTCTCTCTCTCTCTCTCTCTCTCTCTCTCTCTCTCTAATATACAATACGTAGAGTACTGTAGATCTGTACTGAATTTTCACTATACTTTATTCTTACTCTCCTTTACTATGAATAAATAAGATTTAAGCTATCAAATGAGATCTATTATATTTGGCGCCAAAGTAACCGACGACTGGACTCAAAAACATTTGACTCAAATTGTCGGCAATTAATATAAACGCCGATATCTTGCTCTCTCTCTCTCTCTCTCTCTCTCTCCCCTAATGAAGTACTGCTGTAACCCTTTACTCGTGTCTATAATTTATAGCATTTGAAACTATCGGTGATTTGAAGACAAGTATTAAATTTAATAATTTATGAATTAATATCAATCATACGAAGAAATTAGGTTATGAATGAAGTCTTTATTAACAATAATAATTAAGTGATTGTTTAAATTGAATGCATTTTTATTAAGTAACTAATGATAACGTAATGAATATTAGATAACATTTTCAACAGATTTGATTGAATTGAAAGAGTGTTTGAACTTCATATCAATTATTAAAATAAAAATCATATCTCTGTTCCACAGATAAGGAGAGAGATTCCAAAGTATCACTGATTGTCACAAAAAGCACATCAAATTAAATACATATATAATTTTTAACACATTTATTAAATGATATTTATGGTGAACAGTATATTGTGTACAAAAATTATACATTTGGTATGATTTTTGAGTTACGAAAACTTATGAAAACATTAGATAACTTATATACATAACTCTTGTGAAAATATTCTGTGAGAACTTAAGTGTTTAAAAAAAAATTATATTAAATATGAGTTTTGGCACCAATTTTATAATCTGTACTTCAGTTTAAGCAATAGTTTACTTATAAACTTAATTTAAAAACGTTTTTACCTAAATAATTGGCGGAAAAGGATGGGTAGGAAACGGGACGGAGTGTACAGATCAACGGTAGTCGAAGAGACCGAAGTCGAGCGGGACATTGATTTCTACGACACGTCATGCGGTATCGGGAACTGGAGGCCCGATTGGCTACAAGTGTTCGCGACGACCAAATTTTTTGTCATAAACTTCTCGGCTGTGGCTGTACTACAGGGCGCGTACTTCACGTACTTAATCGGATCCATTTCGACGCTCGAGAAACGGTTCGCCTTCGAGAGCAAGATATCGGCCTTTATATTAATTGCCGACAATTTGAGTCAAATGTTTTTGAGTCCAGTCGTCGGTTACTTTGGCGCCAAATATAATAGATCTCATTTGATAGCAATCGGTGAGTTAGTTGTGGGCTTGTCTTGCATTATGAGTGCACTCCCGTACTTCATATACGGGCCCGGATTGCACTTACTCTCGAGGACTGATGTGGTGTCAAATGTGACCCAATACGAGATGTGTCCCACCAATCCATTGGACACGAAGTGTGGCGACGACAGCACTGAACACACGACTGTCTATTTGGCAGTTGTCATACTATGGTTGGCCAGTTTTGCTAACGGCATCGGTTATACGGCTTTCTATACCATTGGTTTGCCATATATTGACGATAACATCAAGAAGAAAAATTCTCCCATTTATATCAGTAATTATTATTATTGATCTTAAAACACATTTACTTTGGATTCAATGCTCAAAATATTTATAAAATAATTGTAACAATAATTGTTTGAAAGGCACGACAGCAACGCTACGATTATGCGGACCGGTATTGGGGTTCTTATTGAGCTCAATATCATTGCACTGGTATGAGGACCCGCTCTGTAAGTCCACAATAATCAATACATTTCAGAAATAATAATTTATTGTCATTTTCACACATAGATGATCCACATATTAATACAAATGATCCACGATGGGTAAATGCACTATATTATAGAATCTATATAATAGAATATTAAAAGTAATTGCACTGTAAGACATGGTAATAATTTGTATTTAAGGTTGGTGCATGGTGGATGGCTAAAAATTATGACCCGAGAAGATATAACCACAAGTGAAATGGCTACAAATACAAAGGGTTTGCTAAATTTCCGAGTCACTTATGTTGTCACCTATGGCAACAACAGCTATTATTATGGTTATTACAGACCGAAGAGTTAGACACTTTAGAAGAAGTTAAATATAATGTCGAGAGTACTAAAAAAATATCCAAATTAAAAGGTTTGAAAAACTAATTGAATTAAACAAATAAATTCTTAATAATATTATGTTTCAATTTATATACAGAGATAAAAATATCACTCAAGAGATTATTTAAAAATCCAATTCTCATATTTCATGCTTCGGCCGGAATTTGTCGGGTTTTTGGATATTTTGGTTATTATGTATTTAAACCAAAGTATATGGAAATGCAATACAGACAGTCGGCGTCCAGCGCTAGCTTTATCACCGGTAAATCAATTGAAAATAATTAAAACATTAAATTTAATGATAAGATTTATGAATCCTAATTCATTCAATAGGATCCACAAGTATAGTAATGATGGCCATTGGGATAATGGGAGGCGGAGTTATCATCAAATATTTTAAGCCAAAACCGCGACCTCTTGTTCTGTTTATGTTTACCGTTGAACTGATCGCCAGTTTCTCTATTTTGTCCGCAATGTTCTTCGGATGTCCGGCCCCTGTGTTCC